ACTGGGTACATCCAAGCTGCTATTGTTTGTCATAATATATATAAAGATCCCATTTTATATATATATATATATATATATATTCTTTGCCAGAATAAAGGTCCCACTATAGGTAGTGAATCCTCCTAGAGATTGTACAGAGTAACTAAATAGTTAACCACATTAGGAATAATAGTTAATTTTTATAACCTAACATGATAATGAGTATAAAAAAGTACATCTATATCTAATTGTGCTTTTTTTTTTTTAACCAGCAATTCTCCCATTTTTGTAGATGGATAAAAAATCTGACATACACACACGCTCTCACACATTAATTATTACTTGATTGACTCAGTCAACACGTAAACATAAAGTTCGCCAAAAAAAAATCATTGAAATATAGTAATGAAAGATATCTTATTGTTAATTTAATCACTGGACCCGGACTTTTTGAGATACCATAATTTTGTTTAATATTTGTTGTTTTCTTTCCTTCTTAGTTAGTTTGCCGGTAATTTCTGCCTCTTTTAATCCGTTTGGTTCTAAGGAAACAAGAATGCAAAATAAGGAACCGGTTTCAGAGTTAAGTATCATGATATTCATTAAATCTCAACCGTTTAAATTTAATATAAACAGCTTCGACTTAAATTTTTTTATTTTTTAAAAAGTATTTTTCTTTAATAGGTAGATAATTTAAAATAAATATAATCTTTTGTAAGTTTTTTAAAAAATAAATTCTTTATTTAAAAATTATTTGTTGAAAATTTTAAATTTAGACTATTAAAATTATATCTAAATAATATAAATTTCACCATAATAATGAGTATTAGATGAGTAATGAAACTAGTTTCAGAGGATCCATTTGGTTGGATTTTTAACTTCGAAATATGACCATCCGAACCTCCTTGTTCTTTCTTCCAGATATTCAGCCCTCTTTCCAAGACTAAGAAGAATTTGTACCGAATATAAACAACGTACGTGCCATTGGAGAGTCTCCTCTAATATAATACAAATTAACGAAATGGCAAGTTCGAGAAATGGCAACCTTTGATCTCGAAGATGATGAACGTCCATTTTCATTACTCTCATATTTCTTCTTCCTTTCATAATTCATTCATCCTTTTGTGCTGCATCCACACATATTCCTCTTGATAGTCACTTCATTGCTTGCGGTTTTCTTCCAATAATATTGCTCATCTTCATCGTACTTTTGTTCCTGATTCTTAATACCCATCTGTTAGATTTGATTCTGAACATTCTGCTACCATTAATTCTTCTAGAACTTTCTCCCCCATTCATCAATCTGCATAAGAACTCTCACAATCTCAACTTCTTACAGCTTCTACATCAACCACAAGGGGTGGTATTTCATCCCACTTTACTTTCATCCTCTTTCAGAAATATTAGCTTCAGTCTCGTTCAGTGTTGTCACTGGAAGCTATATCCTCCTTGATCGCTTTAGCTTTTAACACTTCTAAACACAATAGTGCTTCCTTGTTCAAGGAGTTCGTGATTGATGTCAATACTGACACTTTAACCCTCCCTTTATTGCCTCTAGAGAGACTCCGATGTTGCATTTGTGAATGCCATTAAGCTTGTTTCTGTCCCACGAGATATTGTCTGTTAATCATACCTTATCTTTTCCAATATTCAAAGGTACTGTTCTTGAAACCTTGTCCCGCTTGAACATGGGAGGGCACTGCCTAGTCCCTTCACAAAACGACACTCTTTTCAGAGTTTGGGAAGAGGCGATAAATATCTCCAGCCCAACCCTTTAGCGTCAAACGGGTCAGTGAACCCATTCTCCACAACGTCTTCATCCAACGACTTCGTGTCTTGCGAGGTAGCACCTTCCCGCAGATGTTTATGCCACCGCAAAAGCCTTGAAATATATTTCAAGCAAGTCCAATTTGACTTGGGGGTCTTCCCAGTCAATCCAAATTTCAGATACATTCTGAGGATGCATTTCTGCAATATCATTAGCAAGTCCAGAAACCGCTTGCTTTTAAATGTGTACGTAAACTCCGATGTTGTGTGAATCTGAATCTATCAGCCTTTACCTATGATGTTGGTGTTCCATACGTTATATATCAACTATGTCACAGATAATACTTCTGAAGAAGATCTAGATAAATTAAGTGTTTTAGTGGAAGCTAGTGGCCTTTAGCAGCGCTTTAATGCTATTTTGAACGGCCTAGAGATCATGAAGTCGAATTTAAAAATTCCAAAAGTAGCAGTCTTTTCAAGCATTTATTATCTGGGCGCTCGGGGGTGTTTTATACTGTTGTCGTCGTTCCATAAGAGCCGACAAGTCCAACCGAACTTTCCAAACCAACGGTGGAAGTCTTAGAATATTGACGTTCCCAGACATTCAAGAAGCAACCGGCAATTTCGAAGAGAAGAATCATATTGACACCGGTGAGTTTGGGACGGTGTTCCTGGGACACCTCAAAGATGGTACGAAGATTGCGACCAAAAGAGCAAATTAAACCCTCGATCCAAACAAGGCATTGCTGAATTCCAGAACGACAGATCAAATTCTCATCGCAACTTCGTCACCAAAATCTTGCCTCTCTTCTCGGATATTGCTACGAGGATAACCAAATGGTTCTGGTTTACGCCTACATGGCAGGTGGTTCTCTCAGCAGCCATCTCTACGGACCAAACATCGTTGTTCCGCTCCCGTGGAAGCAAAGGCTAGAGATTTGCATGCGGGCATCAAGAGGCCTTCATTATCTTCAAACTGGTGCTTCTCAGAGCACAATACACAGAGACATGAAGACAGCGAATATTCTATTGGACGAGAATCTGGTGGCCAAAAAGTTTCGGACTTTGGGATCTCACGGATGGGCTCATCCCTTGACAAGTCGCACGTGAGCACTGTAGCTAAGGGAAGCTTCGGTTACTACTTAGTTCCCGAGTACTTCAGAACGCAGCGTTTAACAGAGAAATCAGATGTGTACTCATTTGGGAGGGTGCTTTTGGAAGTTCTGTGTGGGAGACCTGCAGTGAATCGTGCTGTGCCAGACGAGGAAAGGAATCTGGCAAACTGGGCGATAAGTAAAGGAGAAAATGATGAGTCGTCGTCCCTAGAAGAGATAATAGACCCAAGTCTTCATTGGGAAGGCGAAAGACGAATCTGTGAGAAAGTTTGGGAAGTGGCTAAGATGTGTTTGGAAGGGAAAAGGGCTGCTCTCCACTTGCAAGGCGGCGAAGATACTAATTGATGGTCGGTGAAGAAATTAGATAGTTTTCAGTTTCAAATATAATTGTGTATACGATGGATTATATTAGTTGGTGTGACATTTAGGATCAAAAGAAAGTATTAATCATTTTTGTGTGTGGGTATAGAAACAGGGTGCAGTAGCTAGGTAACATAAAGTTTCTAAATTTTTTTGTTTTGGGGGGTTAGTGATATGGTTAGTTGTTTATTGAAAAATCAATAAACAATATTTTAATCCTAGTTAGTTGGCATCCACTTAATTTACCTTTTGTTATTTTAATACAATTTCAATGATTTTCTTTCTTAATCATATATTTCTCAGCTATTTTTTTTTTGTATATTCTTCTAATTCTATTTATAAAGCACTTTTAGTTTGTTTTACACATATCCAAAAAAAATTTCAAACCACATTAACTTTTTATTAAAATATAATAACTTTCTAAATTTTCTCATATCTAAATATATATCTTTAAAAAATTAATTATCTACACTATAATCAATGAAAGACAAAATGGTACGGTCATACTGAAAATTTAATGAACTGACTTATAAATAGAAAAAAAATTCTTTCTTTACTTTATAAATAGGACTAAAGAAATAACGAGCAATAATGGTTTATTATTATTCTCTGATCCTTATTATATAGCATCTTCTTAATTTTTTGGCTTGAAATTATAGGGCATCTTTAAGAGCCAATTTTCCTTAAAAGTTGATTCATGTGAAAACACGTCCTCCCATTATATAAACCTGTTTTGGATAGTTTATAAGTAGTTTTTTAATTATAATTTACAGAATATGAGATAAGCATGGGAGGAGAGTTTTGTTTCAATTTACATAAAACGCGCTTATGAGTATTTTTGAACGTTATCCCAAATAGGCTTTATGTCTTTTTTCAGGTTAAAATTTGATGACGTGACAGGGTCTACCTTAGAAAGGCCTCTCTCAAGTAGAGCTAGCAATATTGCGGGTTGGCGGTGCGGATATAGGCCAGCCCATAGCAATGCGAGTTGGCAAAATGCCAGCCTGAGCCTGCCAAGCCCGTTGACCCGCCTAAATATTTTTTTTTTAAATTATTATTAATTGTATAGGTTGAGCTTAGTTTGAAATGTTGAAATTAGACTTGGAGTTTTAAACTTGAATAGTGAGTTATAATAAAATAATGTGAGGATTAATTTATAATTTGAGAAGACATTTTAAAAAAACTAACACATATTTTTTCTAAATAATTGATTGACTATTTTTCTTATGCAAATTAATTAAGTAGATCTTTATGTGTATATTACGTATACAATTACATGAATGAGGAGATGTCAATGTATAATTTGAGGGTCAAAATTCTCCAACTATATTGTATAATATATTAGAAATTGTATAAAAAAAAAAAAGGCTAGCCTGTGGCAGAACAGGCTGAAAACGGTGTTGGCTGGAGTAACCCACACCTTGATGAGTTGGCATTTTGCTAATCCGAACCTCCCATTTTTTACAGGTTGACGGTGGGCCCAGCTTATATTATTAGTTCTACTCTCAAGGCCAACAAAATCTTTAAAAAGAATCTTGGGCTAACTGGGCTTAGAAACAGGAACGTTCGGATAAAGGCCGAGTTTCGGTTTACAGTTCCACCCTCTCTGACACTGACAGGCACAGCCAACAGCCAACTACACAATCCTTCCCTCCCAAGCCTCGGTTTTGTTGACCTCTTTGCCCTTTACGAGGTCGCTGCGCGCCTCATATCCTTGCCCTTCTTCTAGCCCGAAATAATAATAAATAAATAAATAAAAAGAGTTCGCTGCTCGGGGTACTCGGGCTAGAGAACCTTCGCATCCAATAACTGTAAGCCCTCTTCTCGTTCTTGCATTCTTCATTCTCTCTCTTTTCAACTCTCTTCGTAAGGATTCTCAGTGGTTCAACTGTGCCCATTGCATGTTTGTTTGATCCGTTCTTGCGGGCAAGAATTAGTTACGATACCGTCACCGGTTTCTCCAAGAAAAAAAAAAGAAGCTGAAGAGGATTTATACCCATCAAATTATTCAGTGATGAGTTAAAGGTTGGTTTTGTTCGTTTGGGGGACTGAGAATATGACTTCGACTTTTTGGTGAATTTTCATTTGCTGACATCTAGCTTAGTATGGATAGGTAGAAAGATTTCGGAGGGTGTTGAAGTTAAGCACGTCACTAGGGCAGGAACTGTGGTTCTTTTCGTTTCCTTTTTGGAAACCTAGATTGGAATAATGGAGACTCCATCTTCTCACGGATCCATTTCAAAGCGGGCTTTAAGAAGGAAATCTAATTTGCGGAACTATGATGAGAATCTGATGGATGAATTGTTTGAAAAAGAGTTGGGCAGTGCTTTGAAAAAGAAGAGTAGGACTAAAGAAGATATAGAGAAGGAGACTGAGACTGAGGCTATGATTGCTTTTCTCTTGGGTTCCCAATTGATGCGCTTCTTGAGGACGAGATTAGAGCTGGGGTTGTGAGACAATTGGGTGGGAAGGAGCTGAATGATTACATTGTTATAAGGAATCATATATTAGCAAGATGGAGAAGTAATGTAAGGACGTGGTTAACCAAAGGGCAGATTAGAGAAACTGTTAGCAGTGAGTGTGAACATTTGATAAATTCTGCTTATAATTTTCTTTTGTATAATGGGTACATAAATTTTGGAGTTTCACAGTCAATCATTTCTCAGATGCCTGAGGCAACTGAAGGGTCTGTAATTGTTGTTGGTGCTGGCCTTGCTGGTTTAGCTGCAGCAAGGCAGCTCATGTCATTTGGTTACAAGGTAATTGTACTAGAAGGTAGGAACCGGCCTGGTGGAAGAGTATATACTCAGAAGATGGGACTTGAGGGCAAATTTGCTGCTTTGGATCTTGGTGGGAGTGTTATCACTGGCATTCATGCAAATCCTCTAGGAGTTTTGGCTCGGCAGCTTTCTATACCACTTCATAAAGTCAGAGACAATTGCCCTTTGTACAAGCCAGATGGAGCGCCAGTTGACAGGGCAATGGATTCAAGTATTGAATTCATTTTCAATAAATTGCTAGACAAAGTTATGGAATTGAGGCAAATTATGGGCGGATTTGCAAGTGATGTTTCTCTTGGATCAGTCCTGGGGACACTCAAAATGTTGTATGCTGTGGCCCGAAGTACAGATGAGAAGCAACTATTGGATTGGCATCTGGCAAATTTAGAGTATGCAAATGCTGGATGTCTTTCAAATCTGTCAGCTGCCTATTGGGATCAGGATGATCCTTATGAGATGGGTGGTGATCACTGCTTTCTTGCTGGTGGTAATTGGAGGCTGGTAAAAGCTCTATCCGAAGGAGTTCCTATTTTTTATGGAAAGATTGTCGATGCTATTAGATATGGAAACAAGGGTGTTGAAGTTATTGCTGGGGACCAAACCTTTCAAGCAGATATGGTGCTATGCACTGTACCTCTTGGAGTTCTAAAAAAGAAGGCCATCATTTTTGAACCTGAATTACCAGCAAGAAAGCTGGCAGCTATAGAGAGGATGGGGTTTGGGCTTCTGAACAAAGTTGCAATGGTTTTCCCTTATGTGTTTTGGGGGGAAGAGCTAGACACATTTGGGCATCTCAATGAGCATAGTCATCAACGGGGAGAATTCTTCTTATTTTACAGTTACCATACTGTTTCTGGAGGTGCAGGACTTATTGCACTGGTGGCTGGTGAAGCTGCACAAGCCTTTGAATTTACAGATCCATCCATTTTGCTCCATCGTGTTTTAAACACCCTCAGAGGTATTATAATGCTTTATGCCTCAGCAACAAAAGCTTAGCTGCCCCTTTGTATCACCTGTTAATTGAATTTTTGGATTTTAGCTCTTTTTTACTCAGTGTTCTAGATGCCCCTTATCATTTCATGTGTTTTATCTGTTTCTGCAGGTATATATAGCCCTAAAGGCATCCTTGTGCCTAATCCAATACAGACAATTTGTACGAGATGGGGCAGTGATCCGCTTTCTTATGGTTCATACTCTCATGTCAGTGTGCACTCATCTGGCCATGATTATGATATACTTGCTGAAAGTGTCGGAAACCGGCTGTTCTTTGCTGGTGAGGCGACAAGTAGGCAATATCCAGCCACAATGCATGGTGCTTTCTTGAGTGGCTTAAGAGAAGCGTCTCGCATTTACCAGGCAACTCATCTTCGACAAAATAATCCTAGGAAATATGTCCCCAAGAATAGTGGCCCATATAATGATATATTGGCAGACCTATTCAAGAAGCCTGATCTGGAATTTGGGAAGTTTGCTGTATTGTTTGATCCTTCATCAGAAAACCCTCAGTCAAAGGGGCTTATGCAAATCACTTTTGGAAATGCCAAAGAGAGTGACAAGGATGATTTATTAAGTAGCTATCTGAACACTACAGCGCTCCCGATGCAACTTTACGCTATTATATCCCGTGAACAAGCAGACCAGCTTCAGCTAATCACTGGAGGGGATGAAAATAGATTGTCATATTTGATAAAAAACCTTGGCTTGAAACTCATAGGATCCAGTGCTTTACTTAACGAAGGCAACTCTTTAGTAGCTACTATTGCTAGCACCCGAAGAGGCAGGGGAAGGAATCGCTAACTAAAGTGGGCAGCCCCATATCTTTCATGATATTAGTTTCTGTATGTCAGCATGCCCCGTGATTTTCTTGTGCCGGGCCCATAAAAAGATCTACCAAGTAGGTTATTGATTTGTTGTCAGAGTTAAAAGCTTCTACAAAGGTTTTGACCAGAGATGATTTGATGCCTGAAGGCAGTCTTAGGTCTCCTTGACTTGTTAGCTGTATCATATAGCCATAGCATAGATCAATTATGTAACTGTAAGAGAATTTTGAGTCTGTTTTGTATTGTTCATTGTGACAGGAGTGATGGGTCAGTACACTAGAGTGGTGCTGGACCAAACCATTGTATCATTTTTTTTCCTTGCCAGCAACCATTGTATCATTTATCCAAGCCCTCGAGTGCAAATCAATTAGGCATTAATATACATCCTGACATCATATTGATCAAACCTCTGTTCATTTATGCAATGTCTTTGGTCTTTCTTTAATTCCATGGTATCCAAAATGGACTAGGACTGGTCGGTTAGTGAGCCATTTTTAGTGAACTTTGTATTATTTGTTTTGAACCAAGGTCAAAGAATTATATCCAACTCATCAAAAAATTACGTCAAGAATATCACCCAAAAAAAAAAAATTACGTCAAGAAGCTCAAATCTCTATACGAAAGAAGCAGATGATTTGCAAGATATAACAGATTAAATTTAAAAGTTGTTAAACTTATTTCTCTCTACCAACAAGCATTTCTATTACTTTTATCATTTACAGTTTTATGGCAGATCTAAATACTATTTGACCTGACGAAAAACTAAAACATTCATGGCTTGTCAAGTTATATTAATTGTAGCGTATAACATAGTCACTCTAAGTTTGTATACCAACCTATACTCTTCCTAGTTTTCACGAAGATGTGCTGCATACAGATATTCTAAAAGAGCCAATATCAGAATCAATATAATCTATTCACGTTTTAAAAATATAAGCAGATATAGAACATTCAAAGGATATTAACATGAGTAAATATGACCACTCAGGTCAATATTGGTTGCTTCTTTTTTTAAATACTCATAAGCCTTCCTGTAATTGCTCGGCCTATGATCAAAATTAATAAAATTAGAAATGGAGAGGCATTATTGATGCCTAGAATTGATTGCAAAACCCTCGTCAAATTTCTTTCTCACATTTAGCAAATCCATGTTTGATGATCTTGATTACTTGCACCATATACAAGCAGAATTAAAATGTAAAAACCTAAGTTTCTGGATCTTCTGTTAAATAAATTATTTATTCTAATTGAATTCCCTTCCCTGAGATTACTAAGCAGCAAGCATGACACCAACAACAATATTTCAATATCAGTTTTCATCCAAGAAACTATTGGGTATGAACTGAAAGATTCTCTAAAAAGTTCAGAAATTTACAGAAGGGGACAGCATGAAAACAACAGCGATAAAAAAGAAAAAAAAGGTAAACAAATAAAAGAAAGAAAATCAAATAGTTCAGTTCATCTGCTTCCACATTGGAAAATCAGATAATGTATCCATCAAGAACCTAATAAGGCTTTCCTTCGTTCATGAAGTCACTGCACTCTCTGCAATTGCAGTTCACAAAGCGGCACTTAAGGCAGCCAGTGCAATTACAATACTTGCAGCCCTGGCACTGCTTGACAAGAGGACAACCTCGGTACATTTTGCGATTGTCTCGTTCTTCTTCCTCTTCACAGGTTATTCTGAAACATAAGAAATTCTTGTATATATCAAAAGGTATGATAAATTTATTTATAGCTAAATATAATAACTTGACGTTCATGTGTGTGAACCTGTGTGTAGGCTCAATTTATAAGGTTTGATTTGGTCTGCTAGAGTCCTTCTATCAATATTGTTGTGACTTGTGAAGTCAAGACTGTGACAAAAACATGACACATCCAAACATAAAATAAACTATAAAACGAACGAGGAGGACACATCTTTGTCTACTGTGATAAAAACATGACACATCCAAACATAAAATAAGCTATAAAACGAACGAGGAGGACACATCTTTGCCTCCTTGTCGTGTAATTTTTCCGATGGTTTCGACTCTCGGAGGAAGCAAAAGTATTACAAAACTGATAGTGTCTCAGTTATCCCCAGTATGCTGCTATTTTCAATCACACTAATTCCTTACCCTCCCTTATTCCCTTTACCAAGTATTTTACTCACACACAGACACACATTAGCCAATACTAACATCTTAATGTAGCTAACAATAACCACTAACTACTACTTATTATGTAGGTGTTACGTAACTGTTGGAAAGTAATAAAAACAATAACCTGGCCAAAGATATAATTTTTATAAAAACTGAACACTCAAATTTTAATAAATGGAATTATACATTCAAAATTGGCTTTTTGTTAATGACCACATCCAACACCATATAAGAACCCATTGTGTTCTTCACTCTTATTTCTAATTTCACGTACTTGCAAATGAAAGCACTCATCCCTATTGTACTAGCAGAAAGTTGGTATATTTCTTTGACTGACTCTTGAAAAAAAAAATTGAAAACAATTAATGGAATTAGCTGTCAAAGCTTAAGATGTGCTAATTAATTAAGTATTCTACTGAGCCTTCAATTACACTACAATAATTAGCCAATAGTAACTTCTTATTGATCTAATAATAACCTTTGACTACTCTTCTGTGTGTTTCAAGGGTAGACCCCAACAGTTAGCTAAGAATTTATTCTTTTCGAGATATAGAAATCACAGAAGTGGGCTTTGCTTCTCCTAACAAGATCTCTTTCGTAGATATAGCTAGGGATCGATCTAGCCACTAAGTAATTATTAGATCACTGCATTTGTAAGAGATGCTTGAAATTGTGGCTTTCTTTTTTTCGTTTATTCTTAAGCCTTTTCCTCAAAATTAAGTAATGGAGTGTTCTTAAGATTGTGCTCCCTCTCTTACATATTGATAGCTAGGTAGTATGAGAAACCCTCCCATTGAAACTAATTGTTGAGGTGGGACAATTACCCTACTTAAGTATTCCATTGAGCCAGTAATTATACTACATGAAGCGGGTTTATTCAAACATCATCTATCCTGCCTTGATCTCTATCAATCAGTCAACTTTACATGAAAGGTGAAATAACAGTTAACATACTATATTTACATTTGTGACACTTAACTATCCTCCACAAGTGCTCATTTTTAAAACTGCCGACCATTAGGCGTGATATCAAATGACAGGTACTTATGTCAGATGAGGAATCTCCCATGAAAAGCTCGTCTTTTAAGGTGGAAAATCATCCTACATATATCGACCAACTTAACTATACCAGTCAATAATATCATACACACACACACGCTACCTTGTTTCTAATGGCTCTCTCTCTCTGTCTCTCTAACTGAGACACAGATGATTATAGCTAGAGGTGAGAGAGTTGAACTTACTTGTCATAAGGCCAAAGAGAGCATTCCCAAGTGCTGCTATTGACAGCATCATGGTATTCCTTAATCTGCTTCATCGTACGACGACGAAACCTGCGCTCTTTGTGGCACTTGGAACAGCGAACAAAGAGATCATTGTGGAACTTGTTGCTGCGACTCACGTGTTTGATCCAGTTATCCACATTTGCTTTGTGATTGTAGCACTTCATTATAATTGACTTACCCAGAGCAACCCTCTCTCCTGTGGCTTCATCTTGAACCCATATGCTGCTCGTCCACTTCCTCCCCTTCACTTCTTTCATTGCAGCATGCTTCTCAAATTCCTTTGGAGTCACATCCGCTGAAATATATTCACAGCAACTTCTTTTTGATTCTTCAGTACAATGCTGACACAAGTAAATTAAAAAACATGCATTTCCCACCATGTTCTTGATCTTATCATGCATACAAATATATTAGCACTTCTTGTGATTTTTAATATAAGATCTACTTAACTAATTTGGGTTAGATTAAGAAAATTAGTTAAATTAGTTATTTGTCAAAAATATTTGTTGGTTTTCCTAAAATATTCTCTTAATCATTTGCATTGAAATTACCCTTGATGCAAATCTCTTAACATATGCAATTAATCAAGATAGTACGAAAAAGAATATAAGTATATAAAACAAAATGAATTGAGGTTTATATTTAGAATCAAACTCGATTCCATAACTAATTCTAAATAATAACCGATAACTATAGGTTAATTTGAATGAGAAAATTAGACACAAGACTGTAGCTAATGTGGAGGGAGGGTGAAAAGCTGGGCAGCTCTTCCCCAAGCTATAGATGAGCTTTCAAAATTACTTGACTCATCTAAATTTTTTTGACTATATGTATAAGTATGAAGATAAATGCATAAATAGAGATATATAGAAGGGAGGGGGGTTGGCGGTGGGGTTTGCCTTGTTCGCAGCCTTCATAGCATTGACATTTGATCAAGAATTGACCATTGGTTTTGACTCTAAGTCTGCCACCAAAGTCTCCATATTTTTTGTTGGTGAATCCACACCCAACCTCCACATAATTTGGTCCTTTCTCATAACCTCTTATCCCTTTCAGCTCTGCTTCATTGAACCTCTTTCTTTTGCCCTTCCCCACCTTTCTATTTCCCTTCCCTGTTCATTTATTTAACAGATTACCTTAAAAATCCCATGAAAGAAAATTTAAAGAATTTTAATTATCAAAGTTCTAATAACCTTCTCTCTCTCTCTCTCTCATTGCATTTATGAATGATTTGTAAATTCATACTCCCTTTTGATCCTTAATCTAGACATACCCAAAATCCTAGGGAGAAAAATTGCCCAAATCCTGTAATGTTTTTAGCTAAGACATGTAGAAGTTTTGAGAAAAACAAAGTGATGATTAATTAGCGGGTAGGTATATTAAAAATCGAAATTGCTTCTTTACAAATGATATAAGGTTCTATACATCTAACTTCTAAACTATAGTAATTCGCAAAAATTAATTATGATTATGATATTTATTATAGAGGGCACGATATACCTAACATTTAGATTAGATTTTCTATGCACAAATAAAAGAATTAAATGATTCAATAATTTAAAAAGATTGTGTCTTGAATCAACAAAAATCATGATTAGTGTATATCATTAACTAGAAACTTCAGATCTAGAAATATAGAGGGAGAAAGATACGCGTAACATTAGATCGCGCCCCAATTACATGAAATTAAGGCCGAGAAATGTGAATCCCCTCAAAATCATTTAAAATTTACCGGAGAAGAAAAGAATAAGGTCATCTACATTTTCATAAATAAGAAATTAATGAATAAAAAATTTTAGTCATGTGATAATTTTATGATATAGAAAATTAAACTTGTCAACTATAGACATCACTATCTCACTCTTTACTTGAAATCTTATAAGAAATTATGAAGAAAATAAGTAGAGATTACCTCGTAACATTTCAATATTATTGAGCTGTCACAGGAATCACTCCTATCTTAGTTTTATCGACTTCTTTGTTACTCTCTAAATATTCTAGTTTGGGGATTCAAGTGATTCATTTTCTTATAAATTCATAGCATAAGCGAAGCAGAAACACCATTCCTTTTAAATGGAAATAATATTAATTTATTCATGTAATTTTGCATTTTTTTATTAATAATTTTTAATGGAGTTACTTATTTGTTATACCCACGTGTCAAAAGAATATCAAATTTAAGATGACTAGGCATTTTGTAATATTTAGAATGTTAAGGGGTATTTGCTAAAGCCTAGTGACTTCTTACAAAACTTATGTAATGATTGATTTATGAAAAAAGAAAAAGTATTTTTATTACATAGAAATTAATATATTTTTGTTATTTTTCTTAATTAAAAATAATGATTTTTTTTCTATAGTTAGTTTTTGTTCAAGGGTCTAAAAATACTTCTAAAATATAATATATCCCATTAATGATCTTTCATATCGCATAATTTTTACCAAAATTATGATGTCTTAATCTTCGTCTTCCTATTTGTCTATCCTTTTCTTTTATTTTAATTTTCAATTTATTTAGCATATTTCTTATTTATTATAGATTCAATGTCTTAAAATAAAAAAGTAGAGAGAGAGAGAGAGAGGTTGAAATGGATCGCTGTGTCCGTATAGTGTGAAGGGAAGTTGGAAGGAAAAGAAATCGAAATCAAAGCCACAAGCCAATCCAGTCTCTGCTCTGCTTTCCTTCCCGCCTCAAAGATGTGGGTCTTATCCTGCGCCATGTCTGCTTATCCTACACTTCCTATCAGAGCTTCCACACCATTGTCTTCTACTCACTCTGCCTCTCGCCTCTGTGTTCCTACCGACCTTCATTTTCGTTATGACAGCCCCTTCGTCCCGGAGTTACTAATGCTTTCATTTCATGCTTTTATTTACAGAATTTTCCAGAACAATCTCTTCTTATCGTACCGTCTGATTTATCGGAAAGTGTTGGAAACTGAAAGGTCTTCATTTGCTCAAATTTAAATTCCCTGGCTTGCTTGTTTTTGTAGTACCTGAAAATTATGCGCATAAAGACCGTACCGAATTTTGAAGATTTTGGTGAGATACTCATGTTATTTTCTTTTTGGTCATTAGAAGTTATTTCAATGTCTCGTACAAAAAAAAAAGGTTATTTCAACGTTTCCTTAATTGGTGAGAAAGTGAGATAGTAATAGAAAATGAGTTCTGCAGAATTTTGATATCAATATATGTGTGACATAGTGTAAATATAAATCTTCTGGTCTAATCTCTAAAAGTGTCTGTCTGGAGTTAAATTTATAAAAAAAAGTTAGAAGGTATAGCGTATACATGGACTGAGATACATCGCTAGTTACTAATGGTTTCATTTTCTTGCAGTGCAGGCCGTGGAAGCAGTAAACGTCTTGCATTTCGAGTTTAGAGCTGTTGATAATTTGGTAGCATGCAATACCAGCCGTGTTCTTAAAGCTTTCCAAAATGCTCGAGTTGGATCTCACGTAAGCAGGTACTTGGATATAGATTATCATTCTGCAAATGTTTCTATGATATGTTTGGTTCCCAAGTTACTCTGAGACTTGCTTTTGGTTTTAAGGCTACTAGTCTTCAATGCGTTGGTTGGAATTGATGCTATTTTATCCAATGAGCTGATACCGTTGTGCGTGGCATTCTGAGCCAAAAAAATTGCCAAAGTAGGGCATCCTGCAACTTAGTATTTGACTAATAATTACCCGAAGGTGCATAGTAAATCTAAAGCTGAAACCATCAAACCAGGCTAGAAAAGCCAACAGGTTGTGATAGCATGGTTGACAAGATGGAAAACTTATTTCCTTCCTACGTAGATGGATATGCATGCATTGTGTATTTTTGTTGTATAATGCTCGATTTTTATCCAGATTGAAGTTCTTTACATTAAAGTGTGCCATACTGACAAATACTACCCTCCATTCCTTGATATAAGAGTTAGTTTGATATTCAGTTTGGTCCTAAATATAAAATCTCAATCCACTTTGTCTCTCATATTTATCCTTTTTTTTTTTCCTAAAATGGTCCTTGTACTAGCTGCATATGGTAAATGTTTCATCAAAGGTTATTCTAGCTAATATAGATGATTAGCAAAAGTATTTTAGGAAAGACCACATATTTATTACAAATAATTAACTTAATTAATTTTCTTAATCTACTTAAATTAGTCAACTAGCTCTTATATTAAGGACAGGAGGTAGTAAATAGGAAACAAACATTGTTTTCATGCCACAAGCTTGACAATGAGAAGTGATAGAAGGATGGAATCCTATCTACAAATTCCTTAATCCATTTGAGTACCCTTTTGTTTTCTTTGTTCAATAAAGTCTTGTAGATACATTATTTTGGGTTTTGCTCTAAATTTGGTAAGTAGAAGTTTGAATGTGTTGGGCCATGTCTAGTCATCGATGTATTTGTTTGGATCTAGATCACTGTTCTGTTTAAGTTGTATAGTTGATATGATCTGGAAGTAGTTTGTTTTTGCCGATTCACATTTTTTGCCCCGTGACTCAATGATTGTGGGAGATTAGACACTGCTATCAGTGGAACATACTCCTTATATCTCATCTACGGAAGAAAAAAAATGCTGAGGAACTTAACGCCACGTGCTTATTTTTATTTCATGTTCCAAATGCAGGGTGGCACCCATTGGACTCAAGGGGGACTAGTTGTTGGGGACATTTTGAAGTCTATATGATCTTTTGGAAGACAAGAAGATTGAGATTGGTTCAGAAAATTATTTCCCATTTTTGCTTCCCAGGCGAACACACGTAGCCCACAAAAACGATTTGCCTATTGGAAAACCATGTTGTGCTGCACCAAAGAACACCCGATGAAAACCGCTTATGGAGGCTGGCTAGCTCTGTTGACTAGGGGAGAGAATGGCGAAACTGTGTAAAGGGTTGTTGGTTACAATTTTATTGGATGTCCCCGAAGGGACAATGGTGTGCGTTGTTAATTCAGCTCTCCTCTTACAGTACAATAGGAAAGAAAAAAATTGAAAATATAAAATTGATTTCTCAAGGTTCTGATTTTTGTCTCTATTATAACTGTAAACCGTGCACATCAAATTTTAACAATACAAATTAATATATATTTTTAAAAAGTATTAAATTTGAGGATGATATTTTAGACCAATACATCAATAATTTCAATTCAAGACAAAAACGTTTCAATATTTCAGTAAAAGGGCGTGGTTTTTAATAATCACGGAACATTCTGTAGTACTGTGATTTATTAATATACAAGTTAGTGAAATAAATGTGTGTAAAAATGT